TCTGTGCGGCGGCTATCCACCAACTAACTTAAATACTTACAACAAATAAACGGTAGGTGTTTGAATGAAGCTGTTTCTTAGGCGAATACAAATCGATTTATCAAGTTTTATCTGCTAGGGTTATGAAAGTGTTTGGCTGAGTAGATCGCATCTCAATTTGACCTTTCCAGGCTCTGAAGAAGGCGAAACCGCCGAAACGTCAGCAATTGTGTTCTAATAAATTCTATATTAACAAACTCGTGTCTGCTTATTGATGAAAAACATTGAATCACCTTAAACTCTTTATATCGAAATTCAATTCTTGGACATGTTTAGGAGCTAAACAAAACTAACCATACCGCTGAACGTGGTGGTTTATCGTATAGGATCCACTTTCCATAGCATATTAGGATGTAGATGGAGAGCATCAGTTGTATAACCTGTAGTCCTGTTGATCGTTGAGTGACTCTATCAGGCCGTAGTAATCTTCCATTTTCCCTGTCGCATGCAAGAGTAACCCAGTGGGTTCCGCTCAGGTTCTGCGCTCTCTAGTGACTCGTTCAGTATCATACTTTTGTTCTAATCTTCTGATTGCTTAAACGGTTCTGTTCTAAAATCCTCTCGGGAAGTTCTCATGGAGTCGGCATCGACTGTTGCCTTCAAATGATTGTTGCCAACGGCTTGTAGGTTTCTTGACCTTATACTCCATTAAGGCATATCTCCAGCACGGAACTTTTTAACCATTTACGCACTGTGCACTCAGCAGCGATTCTCTATTCTGTGATTCATTAAGAGAAACGACATGGTTTTCTTTCCTTGAGAGCATCACCCAACCTGGAAACATTGGAAATCGAGTGTAACACTATTAGCGTTCAAATAACCTCTTGCACAAGAAGGACAAAGAGCACCAAACTTGATATGACGCACGTTTCTAACTGCTTTTAGCGTTATGGTAATCACAGGTAACTTATCAGTTCCTGTCGTGGTATAGCTTTACTCTGGGCTGAGCTTCCAAATGGAATTGTCGAACTCCTGTGCTTGGTTAATATTGCTAGAGGGATGTGGACTTTGCTGTATATAATAGGTAGAAACATATAGAAATATATAAACATGTGTCACAAGGTAAGTGGAGGGTAGGGTGGAAGCATAAGTGTGTGACGTTTTACCTACCTTCGTAGTTTTCATTATTAAACGCTTATTTACATAGTGAACTCTAAAATGGTGCTCATTACGAGTTCAACGGTTTGTGACTTTATGGGCTCATTTCCTTTCCTTACGTATAAATTCTCTTTAATCTTTATCTTTATCTTAATCTCTATCTCTAACCTTCTCTTTCAGGCGCCAGTATACGCAGTTCTTCTCCTAGCCGTAAGTCTTTCCTCACTAAAAAATAGTTTTAGCTTTTCTTACTTTTTTAAACTATTGCACCATCTTCCTGGATAAGTACCAATCTGCTATAGATATGACTTTTATAGGTTGTACTTTTCGTACGCGTAAATTTTGTCCACTCATGAAATGTTTCGGTTTTAATAAGTTTTAAACACTTTGGCTAAAATGCAACTGAATTCCATCGTGAACAGCAGTAGTTTCCGACATAAGGTCATCCCCATCCAAGTTTTTAGCACCCGTGGACATTTCTAACCGCAATAAAGCAGTAAATTTGGTGAAGTGAAATGCCCTCAGTACCCTAAAAGAAGCATGAGCAGTGAGTAACAAAGGGCAGAAAATAACCTCTTACTCAAGTAATCCAGTAAGGTAAATCAGTTTGAAGTTTGTTTTTTACACGAGCTGCCATCAAATATTGTGAAGATCTGAGACTTCCCTGCGTTTTGTTCGTTTTCTCGCATTCGTCATCAACGAAAATGTTCGTATTTGCATGTGTGTTAGGCTGTTTGAGTGGTTTTGGTCTTCTCATGAATGTCGTTGTTTATCAAGTCGATTCTGTTTCGAATCTTGGGTTAATCATGGTATGACATTCCCTTCATCACGTGTAGTCGCTAGTCTTCGTGGATTGCAGCAAGTGACTTAATCCCAAGTAACTACTAGTTTCGCAAATTCGATGGGAAACGAGGCTTAATAGGCTTGGTGTGCGGTCGAACCAAGGGATTGAACCTATTGAATAATATCGTTACACTACAATAGATCGTATTTGTCAACTATATCCTTCACCATGCTATACATACAACTAGTGGAGTCGTCTATTCTACTTTCAGAGGTTATTTCTGTGTAACAAGTTTCTTGTTTTATCTAGTTCACCCTATTCGGAGGGCTTGAAGCGCAGTATTTATACGTGCCATGCACCACATATGTGATCTTTGCTACGATTTCGCACCCTGAGCGAACTGAGTCCTTTACCTTTTTGAGATCGGTAAATCGGCGCCAGTATTGTTTCGGAGGATAAAAACGCTGGTTTGATACACATACCTCCACAAGTCAGTGCCTAGATGAACTATGGATACGGTCATCTCTACGATCTACAATGATTGATGAAGTAGATTGCATGGCGCATTAGCGAGAGTTAACTATTAAAGCAGTGAACATCTTCCGTTATAAATTCCTTTTAAAAGGGTAGCTTAGTAAAAGTATTCTACAACATGGGTCTTAAGGGGAGGAACATAGCCTGTGCTACTGTAGAATTGATTCTCCAATAACTTCGTCAAAGTCGTCGGTAAGAATTTGATAAATTTACGATGAGAGAGATAAACACTGAATAATTGCTGTAAATGCTTTTCAGGTGTACGCATTAATATCAGTAGTTTATGGCGTAGCAACATTCAATGATTGCCCGTTGGCAAAAGAGGAGTTGCTGAAAGAAATAAAGGAAGCCAGAGATGATTTGAAACAGAGGAAAGTCATTTAGTAATACTGGATGGATGTCACTGCATGAAATATGCTGTTTATGGGCTTATTGTCATTTTATATGCCATTATGGGAACCTACCTGTGATATTAGTTTGTTTTTTTAAGGTTAATAATGTTACGGATATTTTACAGTTGTCTGGTTTACTTAATGAATAAATTTTTACGCTGTACAAGGTAAGGTGAATTGAGAATTTTTGTCCGTGTTAGCCGTTGTATGGGATAATGTTGAAGGTAAATGACTACGATTCGTACTTATCATCGTGAACAGTTTTAGGATTCTTGAATTTTACTTTGAAGTGGAAATTTGGATTTTAGGACTGTTACGGCAACACACTTATCTGCAAATTATATGGTATTCAGTGGCAGTTGCTCTATCGACAATGTAGATTTTACGGATCGGGTCAGGAACCGAACCGTATTATGGCGTAGTACATCAAATTCGACTGAAGAATGTGTCTGTGCGTTATGAAAACTGATCGAATGTCATTGGAACACCACCACAGAAGGTTCTTCCATCGATTCATCGCCATTCTCCTAGAGGTCCAACATGAGATAGTCGAAATTACACATCGATGCGCTGCGGTGCATGATGAAAGCTCTCAACTAGGACGAAAAGCGGGTAGTCATTGATGAAAATTCTTGGCCAGACCTTATTTTATAAATCTTATCGTTACCTCTCAAAAAAATAGGTGGAGCGGGAACCATTCTCAATGTGCTCAACGAAGTAGGAAAAATAATGGGCTTCGTGAATCTGAAGAAACTGGTTTATGTGAAACCCATAGTGCATAGGAAAGTACTCGTAATGGCTTTTTGATTACGGCGGCTACTTCATCCATATCGGGAGGTGTTAATCTAAAACGTTCACCGAGCGTGGAAAGCGACGTGAAGAAGGAAAACTGTAGAAGAATGGTAACAGTTGACGGTTCCAAAACTACCCACTCATGTTTTGACTCTGTTTGTCTTTCTAGCGGTGCGTAGTAAAGTGGTGAGATCGATTGATACCTGAATATTCCCAAAAATTTGTCGTACTACCAAAAGAGTGCTTGAATGTTGTGTTCTGGAATGTAGCCGATAGAAACAGCGTCGAAGCGACTACATAGACCAGAGAAAATTGGCTTGTGTTCGCGTTCCAAGTGATTACCCTCGAGGATGCTTGGATTCCGTATTACAATGTGTTCACCGGCCGTAAACCGTGCTTAAAATGTACTTTGAGGGTGAACTTGATAGGTGAACAAAAAAAGTTGGTGAGCGGTTGTCATATGGACGATGAGAAGATAAAGAAATATTCTAAATAATTCAAGCGTCCTCTAGGGCGATCATCAGGAGTAATGTACGTGTTTGTAATTGCCACTAAGCGTTGCAAGTCATTTGTGAAGCGGATAATGATACCGACAGACATAGTGCTCGAAGCAGGCTGCCAACGCGGGTGATGATCGGAGTGGAAATTGTATTAGGACCTGATTATTTTTCTTTTCACGGTCAAACTAGTGCGTACTACGGTGGATGTCCGAGCATGTTCTGAAACACTGTATCGGTAGGATAAGAAAAATCACAGCCGATCAGTAAAATACAGCGACGAATGGAAATAGACGATTGGCTGATTCGGAGAGTCACTATTTCTATAAATATCTGACTTGCATCGTTTGCATTGCTGACCGCCGAGGAAATTGACGGGGAGTTCAGATCGAGTACCACTAGTAGGGAGATGGTATCCTACTGATTCAACGAACGCGGGGTGAATCCTGAAATCCTATTTAAGCGTAGAGGTCCCGTCACATTAGATGAAAACACCCTACAACGAAGTAAAGTTGGCTCAGACTTATGAAACGACTTGGAGAGGGAGCTCAACTTCGTTCTGGTTACCATCGTTAATCTTCACTGAGTTACACAATGTGAAATCTCCTTTGACGCCTCATACCTAAACCGACCACAATTGTTCCACTCAAATTGGTATCTGAAAATCCTTGCTTTTTCACCTCACCGGGAGGAACTTAAATTTTTGCGCTAACGAATACCTCTGATTTTTAGAAAGAGATTTGTCCAACCTTTGCGATTGGTCTGTCGTAGTACTATTTTGAACAACGGTAGTTCTTAAACTTCAATTCTGGTTTTTGATTTTTAAAGACTGAGTGAGTTAATAAATTTTCCGAAAAAGGTTTCCAGTTAATAAATTTTCCGAGGAAGGTTCCACGTCTTTCTGTTAAAAATGTAAATTATCTTTAGAAACGGGTGTTAATTTTTACCTTTTCAAAATTTTGTTTCCTGATCACCAAACAGTCGAAGATAAGGTGGACCGGACACGTAATGCGTATGAATGACAACCGATGGACAAGAGCCGTTAGTGACTGGATTCCTCGGGATGTCAAACGTACTGCAGGAAGACTACCGACCCGATGGTCAGAGTTCTTCACAAAGAGCCTAAAAGAAAGATATGATGCTCGACGGGACCCTAGAGCGAGCAGAACCCACTGCGCTACTCTTGCACCCGACAGGAAAAAATGGAGGATTTACTGGCGTCCACTCGAGCCACTCGACGATCAACGTGACTGCAGGTGATACAGGTGATGCAGGTGATCATCACGGAAATCGTGTTGTGAAATGCACATACTTGCTCGAAGTTGGTAGTATTTGGCAGTTGCTGTTAGGCCTCTCCATGACAGAGCAAGTAGGTATACCCTGTGAAAAATGCAGTCCTACTTCCTTGGATATATCGGCATTTCAGGAACAGAGGCAATTACAGTTCCGCTGAGTACCGTTGATGTGCATCCAGTTTTGCTTTTGCGTTATAGCGTAGATCATTTGGGAACTGATGATTTGTTAAGAAAGTTGAATTTTTTAAATTTAGAGACCGAAATATCTCAATCACAATATTGCTGAGATATTTGCAAAACTCCGAACCGCAGTTGCGTGCTGTGGGGAATAAACGCGCTGTTACCCTTTCCGGGGGCTAACACGTTCACACGTTTCCGTCCGTTCCGTTGACGGGTGATTGCTGATGGAACTGATCGATAGAACTAGCTGAGAAGCAGGCGAAACGAATGATACGCATGGTGTGGTGGTGAACGCGTTACTCCCCTGAAAGGACAATAGCGCGTTCGTTCCCACCGCAGACACCTGCCGTCCGGAGTTCTGCAAATATCTAAGCAATGTTAACTTATTATTTTCTGCCTACTCTTTTTTAATGGCAGAATGCATTGCGAAATATAACTTCAATGATGCTGAGATATTTGCAAAGAAGAGCTCCAGTTTAACTGGGTTCGTTGCGTATTTGTGCTCCAGAAATGAATCCCGCTGACGGGTGATTGCTGATGGCAGTGATCGATAGAATTTGTTGAGAGACACCTGAAAGGAAGGACCCGCATGGTGTGGTGGTGATCATGTTAGCATCCGGAAAGGGTAATAGCGCGTTTGTTCCCCACCGTAGACACCTTCGGTCCGGAGTTTTGCAAATCTCTCAGCATCATTGAAGTTATCTCAGCAATAATGTCGTTGTATTTTTTAATACCCTGCCGTAAAAATTGTAGCAGGCAGAAAATAAAGAGTAAACGAATTATCTTATTTTTTGAGACTGTTAATCATTCTCGTGACAATTGAAGTAGATACTAGAAGAAGTTCAGACTCTGTGCTTTGGAAGCTCTAGATCACACAGTCCCATTTGATGATAGTACCACGTTAACTCACTTTAATATGATAGCAGTATCAATGTGGTGCATGTAGTGCGGTGATTGCAGCCACCCTGAAATACGCATGGGATCGATGCCCGCGCCACTGGTCCAGTAAGCGCTCCATCTCTCCGGGGTCGCCAAAGTGGTATCAGACTGGTCTGTGAGAATAGCAGCATTGGCGCAATACATCAGTAGGCCGTCGTGACTCATTGTGTTGGTCAGATATCTATTCAATCACCTCCAACGATGGTCGGATGTATGGGGCATCAGGGATTGATCAACGCTGAGAGCTTTATCCTTTTTTGTTATAATATTATTATAATATAATAACATAATATTGATGGGTGAGTGTTGCGGAGTGGTTAGAGATGCCCACTCGTGGTCGCCTTTCCATCTCGCGCTTTGGACCAACGAAGTCCTCGACTGTGCCACGGTCGGGGAGTTGGTAGAGTTGTTTGGGACAACAAAAAGTATTAAACTGATACATCCTTGGATCATCATGCCAACATGGGACTGATAATAAAGATTTATTCAGCTAAAAAAAATATTCGTCTTTGGCTAACTGGCGCATGGAAATTTCCCCCTTCAGTTCATTTTCATAAAGTGGTGCGCGATCAATCCACGATGCTTTCGATTTTCGTGTGATACCACTTGTTCTCTTCACCGAGAGGTTTTGACAGTGACCGTTCAGATGGCAGTTATCGTGAAAGTTGTGGATTTGATTGCGAGTGGAGTTTTTAAGTTATGAATTCTTTCCTGATGGTAGATTCACTGAATAAGTTTGGGGCTAAAATACAGAGTATTGACATTTCTCAAAGTAGGTACAGCGGTACTAATGCCATTACTTAACTGGTAGTGATAGCTGCTAACGATTACTGTTAGGAATTCATAAAGCAAAAAAAAATCAGTAGCAGCAAGAACGAAATTTCCCGCCACTTCACTACTCAACATAGGAGCACCGACGACGAAAAAAAAGCTAACGGGGATTAGCTATAAAAATTTATATTGTTCTTCATAAAGATATGCAGATTCTGTGAACATTCGAAAGGCGCGTGTGGCTCAGTGGTTGGAGGCGCCCAATAACACACGAGTGGAATCGATACCCGCACCCATGGCCCACCAAGCCCTCCATCCCTCGGGAGTCGGCAAATTGCTAGCAGACTTGTCTGGGAGGATTGCAGCACTGGCTCGACGCATCGGTAGACAACCGCGACTCATTGTAAAGGCCAGATATGCATTCAATCACCACTAACGATGATTAACGAAGTCGAATGCGTGGCGCATCTCTTAGGGATTGTTCAACGCCGAGAGATTTTTTTACAATGAATTTTCGAGGCAATTAAAAAGTGCAATCTCGATTGAGATGTGCTCCGGTGGAGTTGAAAGGCTGTATTACTTGCAGTAATGGATGACTTGTATTTTCATCACTGACATCACGAATGCCAGTCACTCATGTGTGCTTAGCTGCTGTCATGAATTCCACAACAAATATCGTTTGAGTTCTTTAAATACGTTGGAAAATTTTGAGCTGTGTGCTTCCATTATGTAGTTCGTTTTGCGGTAACAAAATCTCTTTCCTGTATTCATTTATGCGACCTTTAATCACACATTAATTGGACCTATGCAATTTTTCCCATTTGGTTATTTGTGTTCACGCGTCGTCATACACGAGAGCCTTCGAATTAACACGTAAGTTCGCTGTAGGCTGTGGGAGTTCTCCTCTTTATTTCATGAAAGTCCTAAATTTCTGGTCGTACGTGATCCTCTCCAGAATCCTGAAATTCGGGATAGGTGTGCTAGAGCGCTCCCAGATTTTTACCGCGCGGCATTCTTCAGACTTCACGGATAGGTGGAAGCTTTCGCCAGTTAGGTGTGCTAATAATTTGTCAACCTCGATGGAATAGGGGTCTCTGTCGGTTAGTGACCAGGGACAACGAGGGACCATGAGCGTGTTGCCAGGCGTCCCTAACCACTGCGATTCTCGAGCATAACATGAATTTCAAATTATTAATGGCTTCCAAAACTGAGTTTACTTTATACAAGTTAGCTCTTGATTGTGGCGAGTATCATTTGTTGTGTTCATTTTATAGGACGACATCATGAAAACGAAATCCGATCAAACTTTTCTACCTTTTTAGAATTCTCGTCATAGACGGCTTTTCTGGTCGAGTGAATAGTGATTGCAATTAAATTACTTATTTGGATACTTGGATGGCCTGTCTTCAGTGGTTGTGCGGGCCGTAGCATAATTTCCACTTTTTCGGAGTATTGCTGCTTTAGTTATTATGATTCCTTGGAGTCACGAGGTCAGCATGGCTAAAGTCTGCCCAGGTCGTCACTACTACAGGCACTCGCTGCTACTGTGGATCACAGGGAGATTTGCCACCATGCGACTAATTTAATACCAGGATGATGGTGGATCCTAGTATTGGTTTATTGGTTTATGGTTAGGGTTTATTGGTATTGGTTTAGGTTTTTCTGGTTTATTGGCAAGGAAATCGTGAAGACATAATTTCACGACAAAATTTTAGTAAACGTAACTTTACAATATTCAAAAAAAGTCCCACTCGTAGCAGCACCGCTCTGGGAAGGCGAAATCGCCGAACCGTCAACGATCGTCGAGTAAAACCAACAACAACGGCAACGTGAACTTATTCCAACCTCGAATCAGCTCAACAAAATCAGTTTTTAAGATCATATAAATAAATATATAAACTATCGATGGCGAGATTTATAGAAAGTCGGTTTTTAAAATTATGAA